ACTTACCCATAGTTCGAGACCACAGAGTCCTGCTCCGCACAGGCAACGCAGCAGTGGTCTCCTTCAAGAAGGAGGGGGATGCATTCCCCATCGTTGCCAGTCCTAGCATAGCAAATCCTCTTTCGGTGCCTGGAATACAATGTGGAGCTAACTGCACACCACCTTCCAAGGGTGAGGAACAGTCTGGCGATGCCCTTTCAAGATGGCTCTGTCTACAGAACACGGAGTGGCTGATACCCCAGTGGGTAACCTCCAGGCTGTTTCGGCTGTGGACGGTCCACAGTTAGACCGGTTTGCCGCACCCCGGAACACCAAGCTCGCGACGTATGTAACACTCCTGCAGACTCCAGGAGCCTGGGCCAGGGTCGTTTTGCTATCCCGCGGACCCACTTAGTTGTGTACGCCTTTCTTCCCTTCCCACTAGTTCACCGGGCACCGGAGAAAACTTCGACAGATGCACACCTGCATATTATCATTGGTCGCACCCAATTGGCCAAGCAAGGCCTAGTTTGAGTTTCCACATCTGTCGGAAACGATAGTCGAAACACCAGCAGTGCTTCCGGACTTACCGGACATGCCGTCCCAACCAGACGGCGCACTACCAACGAGCCCAGCAGGTATCACTTACACGCATAGAGGCTCTCAGTAGACCCGCACATACAAAAGCCTTATCTGAGCAGGCTGCCAACGTCCTGGCCAGGGCGAACAGGGATCCCACCAACGCGGCCTACATTTCTAGGCTGCGAGCAGACACTGGTTGGTGTAGCGGAAGGGAGATTGATCTATACCATCCCTCTAGTGGCCAGGTAGCAGGCTCCTTCGTCCACCTGCTTGACGAAGTGGGTTTGTCCTACACAGCGATAGTTGGCTACAGGTCGGCCTTGTGCCCCACCATTCAAACGTATGGGAACAAGACTAGCCGATTGTCCTATTGTTAGGAGACTATTTACTGCTTTCCAGACGCTGAGACCCCATACAAGGGAACCGCCCAACTGGGACTTGTTGGCTGTGTTGTCCGCTCTAAGCAGACTGCCCTTTGGGCCTCTCCGATCAGCGCCACTCAAAATTTTGACGTGGAAAATGGTCTTTCTGCTGGCGCTCGCCTCAGGTAGGCGTCGACCAGAGCAGGGGGCATTGTCCTTCTCGAATGATGTACCGCCGTTATGGACAATCAAGTTGTGCTAAAGACACGAATCGGGTTTCTCGCCTAGAACTAAATCCCCGGACACGATCCTCACCCGATCATCATCCCCTGGCTGTCAAATTTTGTCTGCCTGGAGGGTCAGAAAGAATTGCTTCTCTGCCCGGTTCGAGCACGGAGTTGCCACCAAACCGTACTAAGGATTTGGGACGGGGTGCCAGGCACATATCTTTGTGTTATGGCAAAGGCAGGCAGGATAGGCCGGCCTCCCCAACTTCCATAACCAGGTGGTTTACTGCGACTGTATTAGAGGTCTATAATACTTTAACTTCCTCAACACAGAGCTTGCAGAGACACCAAGTTAGGAGCGCATGAGATCTGTGCGATTGCTAACTCGCTAGTGCTAGCGTCAGGCGCTCCCCCCCCCCTTGAGCACACATGGAGGGCAGGCTTCTGGAGAACTCAGAACATCTTTATCAACTACCACCTAAGAGACACCGAATCCATTGAAAAGGGTCTCTCTAGGTTGAGTCCCGTCGTAGCGGGTCAGTCTTGGTTTGCTGACCCAGCTCGAACGATTGCAAGGGTCCCTGCACATAGGCAATAAGTCAGTCTCGGTATTTTATGTGGACAGATTTCTCTACCGTCAGCACTCCCCTGGAAGCTCCCAGGTTCCGCTTTGCGGCCTATGCCCTCATGCAGAACTGTTTCAGTCTTTACTTCGAGGCTTACTACCCCCCAGAATTGGGTTCGGGTCTAGCTTTCTTGGGCACACCGAACCCTGTCATCGTAGCAGCATTTTGGTTTCTTGCTCTGGGGACAGCACAGGCAAGGTAAGACACCACCCTTCTTTGGGTCTTAACTAGGGTGTTGAGTGATTATTGTAGAGTGTTTCATCCCGGACTGGGAAAAGACTTTTCATCACTTTTCTGTTTGCTCGGAAAACCCGTCACCTATCGGCGTCTGACTCTGCCTAGAGTTCAAAATAGTCATTTTGACTGACCGGAGTCTCTGGTGGGTAATTGAACGTAGTGAATTTAGGCGAGGGTTCTCTGAACCCACCTATTCACATAGTTCATACCCACCATAGACTCCGGGTCCCCCCCCCAACCACCCCACTCTTTCCGTAGCGTTGGTCTAATTTCTCGATGCGGAGAGAAAGGAACCCGAGTGATTGTACAGTCGTCTATGGCACTGCCATATGGCCTCGATCACGTGGTTCGTGGCGTAAGGGAAAGAAAATCTTGGGGTCATGGGGCTTCCCCTGACCTAGATTCTATCTCTCCATCATCGGCAGAATCGCTGATTAATGCCTTCAGTTCAAAAGTCTATGGTGGGTATGAACTATGTGAATAGACGGGTTCGGAGAACCCTTGCCTAATTTTGACTTCTTCTTGAAAACCGCTAGCCCAAATGTTTTGATACTTGGTATGTAGATATCTTGGGTGGACCTCACTCAGATTTGTTCATTTTGTAATGATATCTTTAATTCTCTAATTTGATGTATATTTTTGTCATTTTTGGTAAAAAATGATATTTTTCATCTTCTTGTTAAAAACCGCAAGTCCGATTGCTTAGATTTTACATACGTAAGTACTACATGTGGACCTCTCTCAGCTTTGTTCATTTCGTGATGGTATCTTCAATTCTCTAATTTTGATGAATATTTTTGTCATTTTTGGTAAAAAGTGATATTTTTGACTTCTTGTTAAAAACCGAAAGTCCAATTGCTTTAATACTATACATATTGTTCATTTTCTGATGATATCTTCAGTTCTTTACTTGAAATGTGCATTGATACCGACAGGCTGCTAGTTTAGTTGTGATATGCATGTCCGTTGGGGGTTTGTGATTAGTTGTTGTTCACAGTACAAATGTCATGCAAATTCAAGTCTTAAAAGGCAAAAGTGGTATTGACAATATTTGATAACTTGTGGTTGTCATGCACATGTTCAACTTTTCATGTAAATAACAATGTATTTTACACGCTTTGTGTTCATTTCTATGAGTCACTATGACAACTACCCTTTAAATCACAATACCCCGTACTAATAATAATAGGGAATTGTTTTCATTCCCCCCAAAAATAAATAAAATCAGTAAATTTGTATTTTACCGATAGAGCCATATAAAGACTTACTGTCTGTGTTAATGATGGCAAAAGATGAAGAAACAGGACAAGGATTATCTGATACCGAACTCACTGATCACGTCATGACGTTCATGTTTGCAGGGCAAGAGGTACTATAACCTAGTTAACACCGTTATCTTGTTAGATATATCCAGTATTATTTTGCAAGTAGCACTGAAAATAGTAGAATTTGTGGTTCTGTAAAAAAAGTCATATCTGCATTCGTTCAAAAGCATATCTGCACTAGTTTGAACATTCGATTTTCCCCCTATATGGGGTCATCATATGTCAGCAGCATTGAACATGTTTGACTCCCATGTGCGAAGCACAAAAAGGGAGTCTTTGCAGTTAGTTAGTGTGTGTGTGTGTGTGTGTGTGTGTGTGTGTGTGTCTGTTCCACTGATATCTCAAGAACCATACATTGATTTTTGATGAAACTTGGTACATAGATGCTCTGGGCCAATGCGCAGATTTGATTAGGTTTTGGTAAAAATCCATGCATATTAATTACCTAATTTGCATGATAATTAGCTGATTTTTAGCTGTTCCATGATTGTTCCACTGATATCTAAAGAACCACTCATTGGATTTTGATGAAACTTGGCACATAGATGCTCTGAACTAATGCGCAGATTTGATTAGTTTTGGGTAAAAATCTGTGCAATATTAATTACCTAATTTGCATAATGATTAATCAATTTTTGGCTTTTCCACTGATATCTCAAATACTAATAATCACATTTCAATAAAACTTGGTACATAGATATCATAGGACACTGCACAGACCTGATAGTTTTTAGGGTAATATCAGTACATATTAATTACCTAATTTGCATAATTAATTAATTTTCAGCTTTTGATATTTCTAGTAGTAATCATCACATTTCAATCAAACTTGGTACATAGATGTCATAGGACACTGCACAGACCTGATAGTTTTTAGTGTAATATCAGTACATATTAATTACCTAATTTGCATAATTAATTAATTTTCAGCTTTTGATATTTTAAGTAGTAATCATCACATTTCAATAAAACTTGGTACATAGATGTCATATGACACTCCACAGACCTGATAGTTTTTAGG